TTTTTAGTGACAAAATTTGGCAAGTCATGTAGCCTGATAGGCGGAAAAATTTCTGAGGAAAATAAGACTGCTTCCAGCATTCTAAAGTGCTCTTTCACGGGAGTATTTTGGTAACTCTGACGCCCCTTGTGGCTAGTGGTAAATCCCCTGTAGTTGCGTGAAAAAGCGCTATAGAATGCCGGAAATCTTATTTTGCACAGAATCTTTCGGTCTGTCAGGCTACATGGCTTGCCAAATTTTGTCACTAAAAACTAAGGACTTGGTTTTTAAGCAGGCAGGTTTTCCGGAAGCTCTATTATCAACTTTTCTCACGCACCTAATCTGACAGAAAAATCTTCGGACTTTTCAAAACAGTATTCAGATTGATCCCAGCTTTTACTAAAAGGTCAAAAACAAGGGAGACGTTGTGATTATGACACACGGTACTGCTTAGATAATACCCAAAACTTCGTTTTCAATATCTTTAGTGACAGGCCGCACCTGTCTGGATATTGTGACCAGCTCACTTTGTAGACAATTTCAAGGGCTATCCAGTGCTATGCTTTCCCAGGCAAACATTTTTTGTAAGTTAACGCACATATAAACGCGTTAGTTGATACATTTGATGCGTTTTAGCACCCAGTGAACGCGTTTCAACGCGTTAGTTAAAGTAAAACGCGTCCAAATGCTTCAAAATTTAACGTAGAATAACGCGTTTGTGAAACAGTAACGCTTAAAAACGCGACATATTTTGACGCGTTTAAATGCGTTCAGATTTAACGCGTTTAGCAGAACGATTTTTCAATAAACTGACACGTTCGGAAGCGTTAACTTGTGTTGCGTTTAAACGCGTTAGAAACGGACGCATTGAACCGCGTTGCAGGTATGAATTGATGCGTTTTCCTGCGTTGAAGGATTGTGAACGCGTTCGGATGCGTTAGAAAATGACGCGTTTTCAGCGCACTACGAATTCATCATATTTTCATCATACGTTTCATTCGATCGTAGCTTCGGCAATGGTTCTTCTTTTGGAGGTAAAGGAAATACTCTGATAGAGTGAGTATCGTTCGCTCCCGACAGAACAAGTTCTCCTAAACATAGAAAAGAAAAATATCTTATGATTTCTCTAAATTCTCATCTCGAGTCAAAAGCATTTTTCCAGCGTTTTTCACATAAAAAAGAACACTCACCTTCGAGTTCACATTTGCCACAACCGAACGGTCCATTAAATTCACTGAGATTCTGAATAAGACTCTGTGCTGGCTTGTCACAGGTCAATGCAATCAAATACGATGAAAGAGGAACACAAGTGCCATTGTAGGAGGCAAGAGAATATGGTGTAGGTTGTTCCAATGTTTTTAATTCACTACTAATTCTAGAAATTACTTCACATATTTGCTGTTTGTCTGGCTTCTTCTTACCAGGCCAAATCGCTCCGACGATAACATTTTTTATTTGAAACCTTTGACGTCGTTTAATTTCATTATCTGGTTTGAAGTGATTAGTTAATAACGAATATTTTAGATCATCATTAATTTGTGATTTGATAAATAAATAATAACCAACATCAAAATGATTTGCTTCAGGAACAGAATCAACAAGTTTCACTTCAATATCCGCATCTTTCAAATCTTCACTAACCTGATCGGATACTGAATCATTATCAGCAGTTGTCACCATTGAAAAATTATCTCTTGTTGTTTTAGCATAAAATCTGTAGTTTAAAATAGACAACTTTTACGTTTTTCACCTGACATTATGTATATCGCGCAAAAGTTATGTAAAGATAAGTTTGAGATGAGAAAAGAAGTTACATAATAACGTCTGATACATAAAAGGGCATATTGAATTAAAGTGAAGACAGAAGTATACGTCCACGTATATATCTATCTACATCCAGTGCTTTCCTTTTCTTTCTTTCTTACGTACATGAAAAGGAAAAGGAAAATTGATACTTTTTTCCGTATAAAAATGTCGTCTTGACCAAGAACAGTCATTGTCGTCAAGAAAGCGAAACTCGTACTGATAAAATATTAATTTTCCTTTTAATTTTCTTGTACGTAAGAAAGAAAGAAACAGAAAAAGCACTAGATCTGGATATATAGGTACAAGTATGTCTCTGTCTTCTCGGTTTGCTCAATATATTGAAATGAGTTCATATGGGAAGATATGAAAATGCACAGAAATAAATGATAAACACATCCTGCTTTACTCTAGATTTGTAACTTGCTTTCATGTCGCCCTTTTTTTCAAAACAAACTTTGTTCAGAATTGGTTAGCGAAGAAGAAGCTTTGGGCCGAACACTCAAAAAATATTTGGTATTGGGCCAAGGCTCAAAGCGCATTGGGCCATGGCCCACTGGCCCTCACCGTAGTTACGCCTATGGTTGTGGACTGTGGAACAAACCATCCACAGAGAGTGTGCATGCTGATGTCTTTAGCTGGTTTGCGTCAACCGTCAATAGGTAGTTCTGATAAATCATAAAACACCTAAATCTAGAAGAATAAGGTATGGCGACATGTCGAGGTAGGCTGTGTGTCACCTCTTGTGCTTGTTTTCATCAATGTAATCGATGTCGGTGGAAAATTTATTAGTTTAAAAGAATGTCCATCTCTTCTTTCGTTTTACCTCGAACCAGAAAAGTGTGGAATCAACTACCCACAGATGTCAGTTTAAAATTTTCTGTTGTACCTTCAAAACGTGGATTAAAACGTTTTTTAATATATTGGATTAATAGGTTATTGTTGTTATTTGTTTTTTCCTGTGTGAATGTTCGTTCTGTTTCTCTTGTTTTCATTGTATTTGTGCCACTAGGGATGATTTATTCATAAGTAACTGTACTTTTATTGTCATCACGTTGTCAATGAGCATCTTTCCAGTACGACAAAAATGCGATAGCACAAACGCCAAAGTAGCGAGTTCAGTTTTGCCGGAACGACTAGCGCCTCTTCTTTTGGCAGGGAATCAAATTGAGAGAGCAAATAATATTAAGCTACTGGGAGTATATCTTTCGCCGGATCTTACGTGGAAATACCATCTTG